GTTCATCGTGTTTATTTTCTCCCGCTTTTCACGTTATCATGTTTGTCTTTTAGCGCTGTTTCCATGTTCTCAATGTTGCCCAATTCTCCTTCAATCGCTGCCGTGGTGTCCTCGTTTTCATGAAGGGCTTCTCCATCTCACGCTGATCTTCTCATTCCGTTCTCTTGTTCTACTTCTATCATGTTGATCTTTTTGTATTCTTCCAGGTCATCGTATACTTGTTGTGCTGTTGTCATGCACGTCTTCTCCATCTTATCCCCGTTTTCAATGTTCTCAACTTCTTTTGTTCCTCTAGTGCTTTTTTTTTTAAATTCATGTTCTTCTCAATGCGTTCCACACGCACAATCCAATGTGTGAACGAACAATTTGTACATTTAATTCAACATTAACAACATGACATGACAATAGGAAGAAGAAAGTGGAGGACGTTGAGTCCAGCCAGAAAGATGAGCGCCATGTTTTTGGTTGTCAGATGACGCAGAGCTGTGGCCAATTGTACTCAGGGAGAGGTCTCTCATGAGTCTAGTGTCAGAGTTCATCAGTTAAGAAGACTGCTGAGGGGGGACCGGCTGTGCGGTGGGTGTTTTTTTTTTTTTTTTTAAATCTCCCTGCAGATTGACACTGATTGTCCAACGTGTCTACATCTCATCAGCATGCGGTAACTTGGCAGCAAGTTGAGCGGATGACTCAGAGGAACTATTTCCAGATTGGACACCTTGTAGCACCGTGTTGTTCGATGGGACGCCTTCAAGGTTCTGCTCAGCTTCTTGGACATCCACTCCCGATTGGCTGACGTCCGACGCCACCGATGAGTCCGATGGGAGAGTCTCATCGGACGGTGTCAGTGAGGAGGCAAAGTCAGTCAAGATGTTTCTGGAAAGCACTGAAACATCACAGAGAAATGTAGTCAGCTAGAGTGACCGCAAGCAGGAAGTGATGTCACAGGAAGTAAGGAGTGGAAGAGGAAGTGATATCTTCGGTTGCGTACTGACCTCCAGTGGGCCGGTCGTCGTCATCTGCAGACAAGCGCCGGCTGAACGGGCTCAAACTGGGGAGCATGATCAAACTCAACGAGATGAAGATGATCTAACACACACACACAAAATTTAAAAAAATGAGTGCGCATACATGCCCACATGTACATGTATGTACATACCAGTAGGCATGTGCTGGTCTGTGCTCCCTTGCTCACTGAGTGTTTGACCAGAGACTGAAGGTGGCGCAGCTGAGTCAGTAGAGACCTCAAAACACACACACACACACACACACACACACACACACACGTACACGTGAGTACACATGTGCATGTGTAAGCAAGCGTGCATGTGTGTGCTTACATGTTGTGTTTCTCCAACTGCTCCACTTTCTTCTGTAGATCTTTGTTCTGCGCTGAGCACAATGCCGCCCTGCCAGCACACACACACACACACACACACACACACACACACACACACACACACACACACACACACACACACACACACACACCTCAGTTTGCTGTGCAGGTGAACTCAACTTCTTTCTAGTTTTAATGATCTAGTCATGACTATTCCATCTACATACATACTGCATAGATCTACAAATCTAGATCTATCTAGCTACACTATTTCTATAGAGACATATCTATGGTCTCAAACGTTAACCATCATTTGTAGATGATCTCCCACTTCTTGAGCGACTGTATCCACAAGATCTATATATCGGTTATAGATCTACGTGTCGATGTGTTGAGGATGTTTCCTTTTATTTCAGCTCTAGCGAGCTGAGATCTATCCATTAAGCCTCCATCTAAGTGTGTGGATTCTCCATCAGCGAGTGGCCGTCTGTTGACTGTTGTGAGCGAGTGCGAGACCACGATTGGCTGCTGGGGAGAAAGTGAAGCCACCTGTCTTCCAGGCCGTCAATGTACTCCTTCCTGCGCCGCCGACTATCCTGCGCCGACTGCTTGTTACGGATTTTCCGCCGAACTTTCTTCAGGACGCGCTCCTCGGCCTGTCGATCAAGGCCGGTTCAAAGGTCACCTTGGAAAGTGCTGCCGTGCGTGACACAAAGTTCAGCCCATGTCTGACCTTGGTGAGAGGAAGCTTGTCGGGCAAGGACACACCCTCCTGACTCAGTAGCTTCTCCTCTTCTGCCGTCAGATGCAGAGTGCCACTCGCCTAATGCGCACACACACACAGCATAAGTCCAAAACACAGAAACATGGACACACACAGATCACAACTCAAACAGACACACACATACCTTCCACAAATAGAAAACAAAACACACACACACACACACACACACACACACACACACACACGCACGCACGCACGCACGCGCGCACACACGGGTTTTGCTCACTTTTACCTCTTGTTCAGCAGGCAAGCCGAAATGCTCTTGTCCCAGCGGCAGCTCACCGACAACACAGGCTTCAGACAGGAACTGATGTGAGCTCCACGGCTCTGTGAAAGAAGGACATTTAACGTCTTCCGGCAGGGACAGCAGCCACTGCGTTCGGAATCATTCAGTGTTTCCTACCACCATGGGTATTTTTAGATCGACAACCTCAGTAGTATCTCTGTTAAAAATTGGTAGGGACCGAGTAGATAATTTAGAATGCACTCACTTATTCCCAATTCCCCAATCACTAGATCTCAATATTTGCAGGCCAACCACTGTATCTTAATAATAATAGTGAATAATAATAATAAAGATTCCAATATTGATCCCAAAAATGGCTATGATAATTTTGTGCTATTTGTGCCTGGTGAGGGTTTCCCAACACAGCTGGAGTCACACGTTCTCACCGAGTTGGATGGCGATGACGTCCACCCCTGCTGGCTCCCCCTCCTCGCTGCTGAGGTCATACACCAGTTGGTAAACAGGTCGCGGGGGGATGGGGTCCTCGTTCCCTGACGATAGCCCGCCGCCGCCAAACACGTCGTTGGGGTCCACAGCATGGAGGACATCTTCCGATTCACTGTCGCTCAGCATCTGGGTTAGAGGGGGCGGAGACTGAACATCGGAAGCGAACATCACATGACTCGACGGGGGCGACGCTCACGGGATCCAACGGGCGTCTCTCGGAGAGGGTCAAGGCCACTTCCTGTTGGCAGCTGAGTGATGCAGTGTCGCCGTGGATACGAGCGTTTTCTGCATCCATGGCCTGGAAGAGGTGTTGAAGGAAATATGACAAATGGTGAGAGTCCCCCATATTACTAGTTACTATACTATAGAACATTTGAACTGATATTTCAAGAGCCACACAAGCGTGATCAGAAATCCGATGATTAGTTGGTTTCACCAAAAACACCACTTTGTGACACAAAAATTGAGATTTTTTTTCAAACAAAGACGTCAAGTGGCACAGCGACTCTGATTCCAATATTTTTGCTAAAACTATAAAGCAATAAAAACTCAAGTGAAACTGGGCTTTTCATGGCAAAGGAATCGTTTATTTACAAATAAGGCACCAAGGGAAAAGCTGACTCCCTGCATGGGTCAAGAGGGGCTTTTTTACTTGGAATTTGCCATTCACTCCATTTGCTGATCTTTTCTCACAATCATGACACACATTTTCTACTACCTAGTGCAACACAAACCCTGTCTCAATCAGACACAAAGCTATCAGACACATGTCCAACTTCTAATCTGTTAGCATTGTCTCCCTTCTGACATGAAAAGATGACCTCCACCTTTATCTTCGACTCAAAAGCTGTGCTGATTTCCCATCCAGAGTGATGCAACACTGCTTTCTACTGGCAAGTGGTTGTCACTGCAGGAATATAGACAAGTGGGAAAAAAAAGGGGCAAGATCCTCTTCCACACCAGGAAGTTTAAAAACATGCTTGGCGAATGAAGAGTAAACGCTTGGAATCCAGCTCATGAATGTTAACAGCCATGGCAGTGAATGAGTTGCCATGAATATTATGGATCATACACGACATCATTCATTTCTAACACTTTTAGTGTGATCTAGCTTTGAGGAAGAACGTTGGAATAAAAACAATTAAAAAACACGAAACAGAGAAGGAATGAAAAAGAGAACTAGAAAACGAGAGAAGACTAAAGAGCCAAAGCAGAAAAGAACAGGTGAGAGCAAACATTAGCGAGGATATCCTGTTCCGCGCAAGAAAAGCAAACACTACAAGCACAAGTAACACGTGTTCTTACTGATTGAACATTTTTTTGTAGCTCCTCAAACTCGGATGTTATTGGAGATTATCAGTTTTCTGGTGTTTACATGCTCGTACATACATTTGAAGTAAACCATGATGATGCCACTGGAACAAGTCAAAGTACCACACTCATTAATTCAACCCCAAAGAAGCAAAACACTCACTGGGGTGCCGTCACATGCGGCGGTTGCACATTACAAAGTTTTCCAAAGTGGTCCAGTGGTGCTGCACAAACTCCAACAAGAAACACACAAACACTTTCACCAAACAGAAAAAAAAAGTCCAAAGTTGCTGTTGCAATCGACGTGAAAGCCCTACTTCGCGTCAATTCGCTTCCGCCTCCTTTTCTTCTTCGTTGTCTTCTTCCCCTCGACTGCTCCACATCGGAGGCAAGCACTTTTTGTTGCCCTCTGCGCTCGTTTGAAGAACTGCAACTAAAAGTCACGCATTTGTTCTGAGGCTGATATGTTATGAATTGAATCGATTCATCAAGTCGAATCCAAAAAGCGAAGTTCATATTGAAATCATACATGACAACACAGAGACTTTTGGAAATTTGGAAGGATGTTACTGTCAAAAGCTATCGAGATTTATTACTTCCTCTTTATCGCTTTTTATAAAAAAAATCACTCTGTAACAATATTAACAATTTGTTTGTGCATTTGTTAAAAAAAACAACAACAACAAAAAACAAGCGTCACCATTTCAAAAAATGAAATTCTTAGATTGTAGAGACCAGAGAGAGGGTTAGAACTTCTAAATCTCATTTAAACTCCATCTTTACAATCAAATAGCTTGAGAAGTCTTTGGAACGACCCTTGTTCTTCTGGAAATTTTATTTAAACAGCGCATTTCGGCAGTAACTGTAACAAAGCGCTTAACATATAACATAACAATAATACGACAACAAAGATTGTGAAATACAAATGAATGATTCTAATACATAAACAGTTGACACCAGAAAACAATAGAACAGCTTCAGTATCTTGTTGGGTCAAAAGAAGAAGAGGGTCATTCCACGGGGAAGGACTGCCAAAAAAAAAGCTCGAATCCCTATTTTTTGTTCGTCTGCTTTTTTGGTTCAGTCTCTCTTTATTGTCTTTTAAATTTAAGTTTGCGTCGTTTGGTACTTTCTACTTCTACTGTCATTTCGTGAATTTAGTGATGAGGGGTGTTTTTTTTAATTATTACAGTATTTCACTGAAAGCCAATACTCGCGGAGGTGACGACAAAACAATAAAAGCAAGTGAAGGAGACGAAGCCCATTTTCTTTTATTTTGACAAGCGGAAGCACCTTGCCCGTCTACGGGAACTTAACATGTTCCGCGATCAAAATGGGATCAGCTGATCGGAATTGACTCACAGTTCCCGGAGCAACGAAGACACGACAAGACAAAAAAGAAGACGGAAAAGAAAAACAACCATGGAATAACACAATAATTTTGATTTGACTTTGCGATAGGAAGTGTTCGCTTCCCGACGGAAAGTTTGGTCAAAGTTTTCACGTTGGGATTCGGCGACTTTTGCTCGTAAGTTATTTTCCCTCTCCAATGTGATCACGTGACGCTCATTCTCTTTTGCAAGGTCGGAAAAGTGACGCGAATGTTTTGTCTTTGCTATTACCAACATATTTCTATTCCTCATTATTCGGTTTGGGCGGGCTGTTGTTACAATAGTGAAGTTGTCATATTACTTGAAAAACGTTTGTCATTTATGAGAAAAAAAGTCAAAATGTTGGTCAAAAACAAGTAATTCTTCAGAATAAAACCAGAATATTGGAAGCAAAAAAAATATATATTTTAGAGAAAAATCTACCTAAGTAATAATTCAGTAATAACGGCCATCTAAGTTTTAATCAAAGTTTGAAAATAGATGATTTTTGAATCCAGAAGTTTTTCAACTTAAAAGTGAAATACAACTGAAGTGATTAATTAGCCTACCATGAGAGGCACCTTATCTATCTATCTATCTATCTATCTATCTATCTATCTATCTATCTATCTATCTATCTATCTATATGTGCACATTAATCAACACATGAATAACAGTGTAAACCCGCCGGACTTAGCATAAATGCTAGTTTTCAGCCATAGTTCCAAGGCAGGTTTCTTGTGTGTCAAATCTAGTTCAACAGACAAGAGAAGTGCTTTCGGGAAACATGAAAATACACACAGACACACACACACAATACAGGGCAGCCCAATGGCGAGATAATAAGGACGCTAATAAGACATCTTGACATATTTCACAAGCAAAGGTTGGCATGGGATGTTTATGATCCAAATATAGCGAAGAGGATGGAAGGAAGGAACAAAGCAAGGAAGGAAACAACAGTGGTCATCGTATTGTTTGTGTTGCTTTTGAAAGAAAAAAAAAAAAACAATCTTTTCAATGGCGCACACTCGGCCTGTCACCTGAGATAGCATTGACGGCTGCAGGCTGAGCCTCAAGGGGAAAAGAGAACTCACTGACGTCACATGTTTTGTTTATATGGCCTGTCGAGAACTTCAACCAGCGATCAAGTATGTGCTCCATAGTAGAAAGCTAGCGCTAATACAGCTTGGCCGAAGATAAATGATAGACGATAACGAAAGCAATTGCAGACCAGTATGGACTGGATGACCAGGAGGTGTACTGAGGAAGCACGGGGGTCAGTGTCACATAAGGCTGTGAATTGCTGTTCTTTATTCTTGTGCTTATCCACCTGTAGCGCCTCCCCGGGAGCAACGGCTCACATGACATCTCCTTTACAGTCGAGCGTGTCTGTGATGGCAGCTGCATTTTACACCATCACTTCTGTCTGAAATCGGCGTGGGGGAACGTCGTCCTCTGACATGTCGGCCCTGGCAGCAAAGATGATGGCGCTGGCAGTCCTGCTGGCCGTCACGCTGACCTTCGGTCTGGTGCCCCTCCGCCTAGTGCAGGGGGCGGGGCCCTGCGCCCTCGGCCCAGGTGAGGAAGCTCACCCCATTGTTTCCTTCATGTCACCTGTCTTCTTGACGCCATCTGCGCTGCTCGCGTCACCTGTCTCCTTCACATCACCTGTGTTGTCCAAACCGCCTGAACGTCTCCTTGACCCCCGAATGTCTCGTTCACACCACCTGTGTCTTTCTGTCGTTTTTGTTTCCACTGTATGTCTCACTCATCCCACTTGTGTTCTTCACGCCACCGCTGTCGTTTCTGCTTCGTGTCTCCTACATGCCAACGGTGTCACTGACACCGGCTGTCACCTTGATGCCGCTCGTGTTGTTGGCAGCGTGTCGTGGGCGCGCACAGGCTCTGATTAACAGTTTCGGGGCCGGCGTGTTCCTGGCCACGTGCCTGCTGGACCTCCTCCCAGATTACCTGAGCGGCTTCTACGACGCCTTCGCCCACGCCGGGCTCACGGTAAGCATGCCTGTACAAACGTACATTTCGTTGAAGTTTTGATTTTGTGAGTGTTTTCACATTTATGTTTTAATTTTGAACTTTGAAGGCAATATTTGGAGGATGTTTCCATGTGGATGCTTTGACATTGTTTGAATTTTGTTTTCATGTTGAGGGTTTGATTCTTGTGTCGATGTTTTAATGACCAAGTTTGATGTATTGATGTTGCGGTTGTTTTACTGATATTTTGACAGCTTTTTAAAAAAAAAATTGATGATGATCTTTTGGCGTTTACTTTTTGGATGGTGTTTTAAGGCCATTTTTTAATTTTGAAGTTCTGATATTATTGTGACAGTGTTTTGATTTTGTTTTGGGTTGAATTTTTGATTGTGGATGTTGAAATGACTCGTGTTTTCTCAATGATTCGAAAGAAATGTTTCATGTTCTGATTTTGATGTTTTTATTTTTTTTGTTTTGCTGGAGATTTTTACATAATGTGTCAAAACATTGTTTGTTGTTTTGAGGGTTTTCCCCTTGTTATTGTCGATGTTTTTGAAATGAATCGAGTGTTTCCTTAACGAGCATTGTTGTCGTGTGGCACAGTTGCAGTTCCCGCTGGCCGAGTTCATCGTGGCGATGGGCTTCTTCCTGGTTCTGGTTTCGGAGCAGCTGTTCTTGGCCTTCACCGAAGAGCCGCGGAAGCTGGGCCGGGAGGGGCGGGGCCTGCTGGTGGATGGTTACGGCAGTGAGCAGGCCAGCTACGAGGTGGATGACGAATGTCACCCGCAGGCGCGCCCGCTGCCTGCGTCGCCATCCGTGTTACGTGCCTCGGTTTTGGTCTCGTCATTGTGCCTACATGCGGTGTTTGAGGGGCTGGCGGTTGGGCTGTTGGTCGGGGGCCGGGAGGTGGCGCAGGTGTGTGCGCCGCTCGCCATCCACAAGGGCATGGTCGCGCTCAGCCTGGCCTTCACGCTGGCTCACACCGGACTACGGCGCGCACCGCTGGTCGGCAGCCTGCTGCTCTTTGCCTCCGCTGCACCGGTAGGCGTGGGTGCAGGAGCCCTCCTGTCAGAGAGCGCGCTGTCGGCGCGAGCTGGAGTGGCACGCCGGACGCTGGAGGGTGTGGTGGCGGGCGCCTTCATCTACATCACCTTCATGGAGGTCCTGCCGCAGCAGTTTGGCCGCGGGCGCCGCCGCCTGGCCGAGGTGGCCATCACACTGTTGGGTTTCACCGCCGTCACCGCTGTGCTCTTCGTCAAAATGTGACCGCCGCCGCTCTTCTGACAGGGGGAGTGAATTTTGAAGAAAAACAACAAAAACCAAGCAACTTGAGATGTTTACAAAATAACAATGGAGAAGAAATGTGGTATTGTTACTCATTAAAAGTCATTTGTTTATTTTGTGCACGTGTCTTGACGTTGATAGATAAGTATTCACATATGATAGGATGACGACACTCTTTTGAAACAGAATGCAGTTTGTGTCGAAACTGGATGTGAAGCTGCAAAGAAATGGTCTGGGAAGCCAAAACCACATTCTTTGGGCACTGGGGAGCCCGCCATCCACAGCGGTTCAAAACGAACCTTGCAATCAAATTTGTTTATTTGCTGCTCGTTGTCAGAAGTCCATCATCATTCATAACACAGTGCCGGAGAGATGATAGTTTGTTCACATCATTCAGCATTAAATGCGTTTTAAATAATCAGAAACGCGTGAAGTCACCAAAACCCCACTCGCTGATGGCACTGTCAGGATTTCAAAAGACATGTTTTTTTAAGGTTACGTCTGCTCTTCGCTGATTGGTTAATTTCACTGTGTTTGCTCAGTTTTACCCCGCCTCGGAAATGCGCTTGAGGGGACTGTGACGAAACAGCGATCGGGGTTTGGATTTTCAGCCCAGAACAGAAATGGTGTCAAATGAATTCAATTCTTGAAGTGTACAATGTCAGAATTGAAGCCTGAATGTTTCGAATCTCAAGAAACGTGGAATTGGATTATTTTGGGTGGAAATTTGGTTAATGTCATGAACCCTTTGAAGTTTGGATGTTTTGGACTAATCCAGAAATATGGGAGGAGGTCAATGTGTGAAATATCTCTTCATTTGGGAATTTTGCTGTGAAAATTTGTACTTTTGAGTCATGTGCTAAATAGTTCTTTCGATTTCAATGAGATGAACTGTTTGCAGGTGAAATCGGTTGAGTAACGTGGGAGCTCCTCTTCGTCTGTAACATCTCCCTTAAGTTGGAAATGTCAGAGAAAGAAGTGTGACTTCAGCATTGCGTAAACCAATAACGAAGTAATTAATTTCGATTCAAGTGACGGGCGTCACATTTTTTCCCCCAACACTTGGCCTTATTGTTCTTGCTTTCGAGAATTCTCGGACAACGGCGTGTTATGTAAAGCTGACTTTGATTGATCAAAAAGGACTCCGCCAGTAGTGCGGTCATATTACGTTGCCACTCACACTGAACTGACAACTTCTGTTTTTTGATGATTCTGAGAACATAATGGAGACGATTCTTTCAGGCGCACTCAGAGAAAATTCTAAATCCCAATCTTATCGATGAAATGTGCATGGAGCGCTTATACCAGACTTACTGGTACAACCGTATGCCATACACGGTGTAATTTTCGACATAGAAACATAAAATAACGCGAAAACGCCGCCGAGAAATCAATGTATTCAAGTTAGGCGTGCTTATCAAGTGGCAGTATAAGAGGGGTGCCAATGGGTTCATTTCAAATTCAGGAGAGTAAGCGGAATTGTTAGTCCATTCATATACTGTATACGTCCCTGGTTAGACCATACACTTGAACTTTTTTTTTTCTTGGTATGAATTCCGTTCGAGTGGAGATTCTTGGTTGAAAGAGAAAGCGGAAGAATCGAGCGGACTCTTTGCACTGGCAGAGCGACGCCGGCAGGTAGCGTTCTGATGCTTTGTCCCAGCAAAAGCCGAGATAGCTTATGAATGACAGATGACTCTCCCGTACCCAACGTCGTATGTCACCGTGTGTTTGTTTGCGGGGGCTGATGGCTTTGTGGAGGCGTTGCCATGGCAACCGCGGCACGGCGACGTGTTGGGTGAAAAATGTCCTCAGTGTGACGTCACGGAAGAAATTACAGGATGGTTGTGATGTGTGGTGAGAGGGCGGAGCCGAGCGCAGCGGACACAAAGCGAGCACGTCGCAAGTCATCTCTGTGCAAGCGATCGCCATGTCGGCCTGGAGGTCACTTCGGAGGTCATAGGTCATCGGCGGCTTCGTTTGATCGCGCGCGCAACCGCGGAGTGAGGCCTCTTGGCCAGCCGAGCGGCGCGGAAGCGATCTCGGGGCGGCCGGTGCAGTGACGTCATCGTGCTGCTCTGGCGGGCGGGCGCTCGTCTCGAGTGAGCGAGCGAGCGAGCGACAACATGTCTGCGGGCTCAGGCGGCCCAGCGCCGGGGCCCGGCGGCCCCCCGGCGGCCGGTGTCGGCAACCCCCGCAAGTTTAGCGAGAAGATCGCGCTGCACACGCAGCGGCAGGCCGAGGAGACGGCCGCCTTCCACGAGGTCATGATGGACATCACGTCGACTAGGGTGAGCCCGCCTGTCTGCCAGCTCGTCGCCACCGCTGGCGGAGGTGGACGTGGTCGAACGAACGAACGAGCGAGCGCAGGCAGGCCTCAGCCGGGCTCCCGGCGCCGTCCAGCCCACTGGACGTTGTCGGAGCCCGTCGGAAGACCGACCGTAGAGCCGCCACTCGATGTGTCTGCTCTCTAGTGGCAAGTTTGCGAGGCCTCGAATGGCTTGCGCTGCGCTTCCGAGCGCCGTTAGCCTGCTTAGCATGTTAGCCTCGGCGGCTAGTCGCCTTGTTTACCAACTCACCGAGCTGTCATCCCACGCCGGAAGTCCTTCGGCACAACGTCCGATCGGAAGCTGATTTTCGCGTTGCGGGTTTCAATTTTGGTGTACGACGCTGAGGTGGCTTGCTTGGAAATCTGCACTACTCCTTGAAACGTTCGGCTGTGGCGGAAGTTTCGCCCAATTTGCCTTTTGCTTGGAAATGGTTACTTTGGGCGCAATTTTTTTGCGGCAGTAAGCAGTTGGATCTAGCTAGTTTGTGAGTTTGAAAGACCTTATCCAGGTGGTTGAGGAGTGCTAGTTCATTTCGTTGGAGAGAGTTATGTACTATTGACAAACGAGTTGGTCAATATAAGTTTGAGTCGCGTTGTCACTGGTGAACTTCAGATTGCTTTCAGAGTGATGAACGTGCGCTGTCAAAGTGGAGTTCACTTGCAATTTCACGTCAGTGGTTTGACTGGGATTGTTGCTGGATGAGTCGCCATAGTTACCGTAGTTACCATAGTTACCACCCTCTCTTAGTTACCTAACCACTGTTACCACAAGGAATGTTATTGTCATACCAACACACATTTACAGATGATCTGGCAGACTGGCACCAAGTACGATATTCCGGGTTCCAGTTTAGCTCAGTCAGTCCCAGGAATTGTAAAGATAAAAATAGAGCAAAATGAGATTGATAATTGTGTGCACAGATGCAATACAGCAGAATCAGAATGCAAGAGGCTTAAATTACACATATCTACATGGTCATTTTGGACTTGACAATAAGAATCGAGTGTTCACCTTGCAGGGATGAATTAGACACGCGGCGTGGGGCTGATGTCAGGACACGGTTTGAGTTTAATGATCCGACAATTTGTGGAAAGAAGCTGTTCCTCAGCTGGTACTTACTCCTCCAGGTCCTCCGTAGCCTCCTGCCTGAGGGGAGGAGTTGGGCGAGGGAATGGCTTGGGTCCTTGATGATACAGATAGCCCTCATCTGTTGGTGAAGATTTCTGTAGTTGTGTGGTGGCTTCCCATGATCTTCTGAGCAGCCTTTACCGTCCTTTGAAGAGCCTTCCTTTCTGCAGCCGCTGTGCAACAGCGTGATGCTGGTGCTGAGGACATTGTCCACTGCACCATGATTAAGCTCCTCAAAACACAGCTCCCCAGTCCAGCACGTCACAGCTTCCAAAGGCAGTATAGACGTTGAGGGAGCCTTCTTCAGCGGGCGGGAAGTGTTTCAGTTCCAGGTGAGGTCCACGTAAAGGTGGACCCCAAGGCACATGGAGCTGAAGAGCACTTGCACTTTGCTCCTCTAATGTGAAGGGGGGAGGGGGTGTGAAGGGGTGAAGGTTATCTTTGCTTTGGCCAACTTGATGTATTACCTCCTCTGTGTACTTTTACTAATCATTGCTGGTGATCCATTCCACTACCACTGTGTCGTCTGCAAACTTTGCTATATGACTCTATTAGCTGTAGTCATGTGAGCAGGAGGGGCCTCAGCACACACCCCGGAGGGAACATCAGAGCTGAGGCTGATGGAAGAGAAGATGTTGTAAGGATAATGACAGTCTGTGATCTGGTGGTTGTGAAGTCCAAGACCTAGTTCCACAGTGATGGAATCAGCAGAGGAGAAATCCAGGAACAGCCGGTGGACGTAGGCATTCCTGAGGACGGTGTGGACCACCAATGAGGTGGCATTATCAGTGGAGTGGTTCTTCCTGTTGGTGTACTTCCTTTTGAGGATCCACGGTGATGTGGATGGAATTTTTGATATGTGGCATAATCAGCTTCTCCAAACACTTCATGACTGTAAGAGCGACGGCTACTCGCCGATAATCGTTTCAGCCTTTCGGTCGGTTGGGACAGACGGCAATTGGAGCCACAAGCTCTCACCTCAGTACGCACGCTAGGATATCGTCGGGCCCCGCAGCTTTGCGGGGGTTAACCATTTGCAGGGTTCTTCTCAAGCATGGTGAAGATAAGTTGTTGGGGCGTGTTATCGGGTGCTGTTTTGAGTCTGATGTAGGGCATTGTTGTTGGGGGTCCTCAAAGCAGGTGAAGCACTGGTTCCAGGTACCTGGCCAGTGATCTTTTCAGTATTGTGCATCATTGGTGTTGTCGTTAAAGCTTTTCCGCAAGAGTTCGAGAGCCTTTGGAGGGGCAGGCACCCCTTCCTCGTCAGTATATTATTATTTGATATTTTTTATTTTCTGGCGGTACCCATCCGCTGTCGTTTGTTGAAAATGCTGATTGGCAAAAAATTTGAATAAGCATGTGTATACCACATGCTTATTCAATTTTTTTTTTTTAATTCAATGCACTTACAATAGGAGTCAGTTATTGACGGATTTTCGCTCAGTGGTGGGGTTTGAATACATACCATTGCCGATCCGCAGCAAATACAGAATACGGGTGACTTTTGAGTTTAACAAAGCCACTGTAGCCCGGCATTGTGGGAAATATTAGCCAGTAGTTCATGTTGCTCATCTTTTGATATATAGCATCGCAAAACGTGCAATGAATGAGCTGCTCTCACCACTCAAAATGACTTTGCAACTGGAATAACACCAGAAACACACAGAGCAAGAAATGCAGCATGGAAGAATTGCATATTTTTCCTCCATTTCCAGCCATGACTGTTAGCGGGGTCTTATATTGCGCCTTTTTGGGTGGTGAATCCGTTGGGCCGCCTTGAGCCATGTTGCGGTGGCACTGGCTCTGCCTATTCTACATTATGCTAAGCAAAGTTAGCCCGTTTAATGTTGCTCCACAGCTCCATCATTACCATGCTACCAATGTTGTGATTGTGAATTAGCGCAGATAGCATTATGACTGTTGTTACCATTGTCATGACCGTTTCCACTTTCGCATCTTAGCATTTGTTCAAGGCTTGTATTGCAGAACGATATGAAGAGTGTGTTTGTGTTTTGCTGTTCAGCTGCAGGCTCAGAAGCTCCGTTTGGCCCGCACCCAGGGTCCGTACTACGGCGGCTCTCTGCCCAACGTCAACCAGATCGGCAGGGGGCCTCAGGACCTGCAGGTGAGTGTGATCACGCCGCCCCCCTGCTGGAGCTGCGGCAACCCTCTGCTTGAGAGTGTTTGGTCTTGTGCAGGGCGCCTTCCCGCCGTCGCTGGAGTCAGCTCGCTCTACGCGTCATCACGGCCTGGTGGAGCGAGTCCACAGGGAACGTCGCTTCGTGCCGCCCATCAGACCGTACCGCAACCGCCAAGTATCCTTTCTTACGCTCCTTCAAAGCACTTTTAGTGCCTTCTAATGGGTCCGGCCCATAAGGCCTTCAAACAAAAGCTCAAATTGTTTTCTATTCACATCTCAAAGGCAAATGACAACAGGCCTCATCCACTGACAGTGCATTTAGCTGCGCGTCTCTCTACTGGTCCGGACTCGGTGCTGGTCATTGCTCTCGACTAACTTGCAGAGCATTGGTTAGGACTTGAAAGAAGTTGTCCATTGTGCTTTTCATGTTATCGCCCGTGGCTGTTTCCACTCTCAATCTGATGGAGCACGATAATAATATCGTTGACGTTGGATTCTTATTCTTATTTTGCTGCCGATATTATGTTGATAAAGCATAATTCTACAACATTTCATTCTCATCTTAGGTAATATCAATAAAACGTACTCAGGCTCTGTTCATAAACATTCGGCGAAGGGGTAAAAACACTCAATAAATCTTCACAGAAAATATTCTGCCAGTCAGGTTTCTCGGGGGTTAAAAAAAAGTGCAAAGTGACGACATGTTTTTGGGAACAGTAACAAAAAGTAACGTCACAAAAAGCAGATCACAGCGTCCTGTTCCCGCATTCAATATTAAAAGTCTGCAGCATTTCTCTTGATTGCCCCCCCCCCCCCGCCCCCTCTCTCTCTAATGAATGTAGTTATCCGGTGTTGCTGTTATCAATGATGGTGTTTTTAGTTATTTTTTAATAATGGTGGTTCACGCATAGTCACACAAGAATTGCAGAGATGAATAACAAAAAGAAATGGGGATATGCGACTACATTGTCCTACTTTTTGGGGGGGGGAAAGTCACTCCGGGGAAGTATGCGAACGTAGGATACACACGGAAACGCAAGGGGTGGTGTTTAGAGAGCGAACTACTCTGGGGATGGGTTATATAAGTGATCGTTTTCAGGCTCCTAAACGGCATCTCCATGTAGACGGAATGGCCAATTGGTAAATAACTTGGGCGGAGACACTGAAACATGTTTTCGTCGGACGGGGGTGGGGGGGGGGGGCGTAGTTTTGGTTCGAAGGCAAACTGCAGCTGCTTGTTGGAAGAAGCACCGGTCATGAATCCGACGGTGATTTTGCGGGTATACTCAAATTATTTGCAGAGGAAGAACATTTCCAAGCATGAGTGAATGTGGCCCAAAGACGTTGAAAAAGTTTGGCTTTTTTTTGGTTCGGTTCATACCAAACAAGCTTGGATATGCTTTGAATGGATTGATTTGAATCAACCTGAATTAATTCATTTGTTGTATCGACTTGCCTTGTTTCCTTATGAAGATTTTAGTGATGTGAACGTTTTCTTAACAGTGGTCTCCTCAGGTGGACAACTCCACCTATAACTCCGCCTACTTGTCGCCACCCCCGGACCCCAGCTGGAGAAGGTACATGCTATGACTCCACCCCCCTTTCCGACTCCACGGGGACACTGTCTGCGGCCATCTTGCTGCTACTTGGAGCCTTTGGCTGTGTTGGGAATCTTTAACTCATTCCCCACTCCTTACATGATGGTATAGTGGACCCAGATAGTTGCATAAAAAGACCCCTCTCCCCCACCACACAAAAAAAAAAAAAAAAAATTGTAGGATTGTAATGATTCCAAACACAGCGACTGCGTTCCGAATCCTTCATCGTTCCCAACTCCCTGAAGCACAAGATCGGCTTTTTAAAAATATTTTTATATATATATTTTAATATTGTTGTCGCCAGGGTTGAAAAATATGACTCGAATGCAGGGGTTGACAACCTTAAATATTCAAAAAGCCACCCAAAAAAAAAAAAAACGGGGTAAAAAAAGGCTGTTGACATCAAAAGTCCCCCCCGGCTATGGCACATTTATAATAAACTCTCATGTAGAGCAATTTTGAAATCAATAGAGCACTCCAGAGAACACCCAACACGATCTCTGTATGTAACAAAAACCTTTTGGTTGAAGCTTGCTTTCAAGTTGAATAGTCTTTGTTTGAGTCCTCCTCGTATTCATGAACTTTAAGGCAAACTTCCATTTTCCGACGACTCTCGGGCATACTTTGAATTGAAACACTTGAATGCCACAATGTCACCATAATCTTCAAACTTGGAATTACATTTGAAAAACAAATTGAAGTTAGTGTTTTTTTTTTTCCTCCTCTCTCTCTTCAAAGTCACAGAGAGCCACTCCAGAACCATGAAAGAACCACATTGGGGTTGCCCACCCCCGCCCTAAACACGAAAGAGGGATTTTATTTTATTCTTTTTACTCTGACGGAGTAAAGCGGTCAGCAGTCCAGGACTGAAAGTGAGGATTAATCAAATACTCCCTCATCAGTTTGTGGGGATTTTTATTTGGTGGACTCAGGATCAATAATCTTGACTGAGTAGTAAACATTGCAACAGCCCTGGCAATTGTCGCGTGCCTATGAAGTGGCTAGGGAGGGATTCCCGACACGTCCAAACGTTTGGAGAGACGCTTTGGAGTGCTAACATGCTAGCAAGCCACTTGTTCTTCTCTCTTTTTTGTCCCGCCGCCTCCTCCTCCTCCTTCTTCTTCTTCTTCTTCTTCTTGGGGGAGTCTGCCAGCGTTCTTCCCGCCGCTATTCTAACCACCAAGTACACGCACGCGCATAACACGCTGGCTCCCATGACGACCGGTGGCTTCCTCACGGGATTTTCAGCGGAGGCTTCCGTCTTAGCGTCAACCCGCTTGCGCTTTTCCTGAGGCTGACTTCATCCCGCGCTTTCTCATCTTCCTCCTCTTCTTCCACCTCACCGTGTCTTTTGCGCGCTGTTGCCGGGCGGGCAAAGCCCAGTAACATAACGTTTTGTTCTTGTCGATCGTGAAAAGGAATTGGTCCGCCGGAATCTTCCCGGGGGATAAAAGCCACTTGTTACGTCTCCCAACCACTGCGCTCAACAGGTGAATCCTCCCCTTCGTCCTTTTCTACCTTTTTTTTTCCCACCTCCACCTCTTCCTCCACACCCCCCCCCCCTCTTCTTTTGGCTCTTCTCACCCCCCACCTCCTTCCTCTTCATTTTTTTGCATCCCAGGACTTTGTTTTTTATCTTCCCCCCCTCTTTTTCCTTGTCTCTTCTCTCTTTTCACCCTTCTTACTTTTCTTCATCCTTCTTTCTCTTCGACATCTTTTTTTCTTCATCTTCCTGTTCTTTGTCTTTAATTTATTCCCCCCCTTTCTCCTCTTCCTCGGCTACCTCATTTCCTCCTGCCTCACTTCCTCTTCTTCCTCCACCTCCTCCCATCTTTTCTTCCCTTATCTGATGATTCAGTTTCTGCCCGAGTAGATTTTCTCCTTCTTGACGGCCACCACCTTCTCCTTCGCTCTTTTCTCTTTCTCTCCTTCTGCCACGCCCCTGGCCGGCGTGCATTTCCTGTTGTCATGTTATTGGCTGGCTGTAGGAGGTAAGATGGTGTCAACCGGCCATTGCGCTCGCCTTGGTAACATCATCTCTTTCAGAGCATTGAGACCGGGTCGGATGCAGGCTTGTGATTGGTTGAGCATGTTGATTGAATCGCTGATTGCCTTTGTGTGTGTGTGTGTGTGTGTGTGTGTGTGTGTGTGTGTGTGTGTGTGTGTGTTCCACCAGGACCAACTCCGACTCAGCCCTCCACACCAGCGTGATGAACCCGCCATCGGGTGACCCCTTCGCCACAGGATGTCACACCCTCACAGCCCACGGCGGAAGACGCAACGGTGAGACGCACGTGGGCGTCACCCACCCTGGACCCGAGCCGATCAAACATAATGGTTCCGCAGCATCACCATGACAACCTTGTCTGTCCTTAGTCTTTCCGTACCCTGTCCCGCCCATTGAGGAAAACGTGCTGGATGATGCCAAGCTCATCCCCAACAAAGCTTGGGACGCCAAGAAGGTTAAACACCATGCGTGCACACAAACACACACACACACACAGATTAATCAGTGGTTGATTTGTATTCGTTTATGTATTCAGTTTCCTGTGATGACCTCCAGACCAAAGTCATGTGAAGTTCCTGGCATCAAGTACGCACCCCCTCCATAACGCAGACACACACGCACGCGCGCACACTGCCCTAACATCACATTTGTCCTGCCTACAGGGGTGCACCAACACGGTGTTGATGTTTGGAAGCACCATATCAGTGCCTTACTTAGTTTTTATTCTGAAATTGGCCCTCAGAAGCAATTGTTGTGGTGGCTGACGAGACTCTGAATTGAGGCTAGCCTAGCCTACAGTATTCCTAGTACGCAAAAGTGCAGCGACACATTCTAACTGGAGCGTATTATTTAATTTCCGTTGCTCATGCACACCAGCGTGCATCCCCAATCATGAGCATCTATTTTTGCCCTATTGAGTTTGTCACAGGACAATTGAGCGGTTTGACAACAGGGAACCCTCTACTGGGGCTTCATTGTCACGACAGGTTGAATACATTGCCAGTAATGGCGCCCTCCTGAGGGTGATTGATTGTACTGTTTCATTCTTCTTCCCCGAATGTGATAGTAATCAGAGCGCCGTGTTTTGACGAGGCAAGGCAAGCTTATTTGTACACCACACTTCATGTACGAGACAATTAAAAGTACTTCACATAAAACCAAAGCATTATGGAAAGAGAGACAAAGTAATACGTTTCAGAAATCATCACATTTTCGAAAACCTTAAATGATTAAAATCAAGCATTCATCTACTGCCGACACATGCGATGTATTTTTGAAAAACAAATTTGAGGTTTCGTTTCCCTTTGATGTTCAATTTTATTTCATCCCTCTTATTTGTGTGTCTGCGTTTTAAGCGTCTTCATGTCACCCGAGCTACCGTCGGCTCCCGCACACGGCATCCCACCGGCCCTCAACATTAGCGGGTCGCTCCCAGATCTGTCCAGCCTTCACTTCCCCCCGCCTCTGCCCACACCGCTGGATCAGGACGAGCCTACCTACCCCGGCGGCAGCACGGGCAACCTGGCGTCCACCCTGACCCAGCTGGGCATCAATACCAGCAGCGCCGAGGGAGGCAACGGCGCCTTCCACCATCAGGCCGGTAAGGCGCATTGACTGAAGGCACGCGCGACCGAACCCCACATGAGTTGCCGACCGTCTGCGAGTAGTTTGGCTGCCATTTCAAATGTCCATTTGTAGGAAGAAAAACAAAGGTCAGGAGAAGGTATGGAACTATATGACTTTTAGAACGAACTTGTTTGGTAGAATTTTGTCCAGTTGTTGTCGTGAATGCTCTAAAGATGGCAAGTCATCGTGCTTTGCTTTTATGTGCTGGCAAGTTTCACCCAAGATGCCCGCCATGTTTGCCCTTTCTCCCGCAGGTGTGCCGGGCTCGTTGGGAGGCACGCTGAGTAACCCGTCCCTGCAGTCGTCGCTGAGTAACCCCAACATCCAGTCGTCGCTCAGCAGCCACTCTTTCAGCAACTCTCTAAGCTCCGCCTCCTTGCACTCATCACTCAGCAACCCATCGCTGCAATCGTCTCTGGGCTCCTCCCCCTCTCTGCCCTCCTCCCTCAGCAGCCAATCGCTGCACTCGTCCCTCAGCAGCTCCTCCCTCCAATCGGCCTCCGGTAGCAGCAACCCCGCCTACAGCTCTGGCTCCGCCACCTACACGTCCTCGGTCAGCACGTCACCGCGGAGACGGGCGCAACCCTCGCCACTCGTCCTGCCCGTCTTGGGCGGGGACGCCCGGCGACATCACACCAAGCAGTTCTCGCCCACCATCTCACCCACGCTGTCCTCCATCACGCAGGTACTCCCTCATGCAGTTCTCAGTCGGGCACAAACACACGCACATACACACCACAAATCACAACAACACCACACAAAATACAGTACAATCATATGCACGTAGGTACACACACACACACACACACACACACACACACACACACATTCATGCACTGTTCTCAGTCTCACATACACTAGACAGCACTTGCGCACACAAAACATTAATGTACACAAACGGATACACGTAAAAGCCCAAATCTCACACACACAAACACACACACACACACAACTGCACAAAACGTAGCATGTACGTCTCCCCATGCTGTCCTCAGTTGCACATTCATGTGCATTTCTCACCTGAGCTTTCCTCCCTCGCAGAGGTGACACACGTACATGCGTACACAGTGACATGTTTCCCACTTCCCACCCCTAGGGCGTGCCCCTGGACACGAGTAAGCTGACTCTGGACCAGCGCTTACCACCAACTCTGGACCAGCGCTTACCACCATATCCACTGGGCCAGCAGGCCCCCCACCAGCAGCCCCCCCTCCTGAGTCAGCATCAAGCGCAGATGGTCCGCCTCCAGCAGACGCCGCCGCAGAACCTGCTCAACGCTCAGCACTTTGGAACGGTACCTGAACTAAAAAAGCGTTTTCATCACATCCATCTTCACGTTCTCCTCCTCTAAACTTCCTCGTGTGTGTGTGTGTAGCCGCAGCGGGCAGGCAGCTCTCAGGTCAGCTCGGCACTGGTGAAGAACAACGCCTTGGAGCCCTACCTCCACAGCACCTTGACCTCCCAGTGTCAGCTCAAGCAGGAAGCGGAGCAACAGAGGAGCGGGAACTTCCCTCAATTGCACTTGACCGCCGACCTGTACAACGTGAGACCTCTACTGGCCTATTTGTTGACTGCCTGTCCGCTTGCTGCCATGGTAACGCGATGTTTTCCCAGGATGCCTTGCTCAATTCCTTGCTGGACGACTCTTACGTAAACCTGCAGCTCAGTGGCAAAGCCAGCCAGCAGGTACGGCGACGCGTGCCACCATCGTGTCATAAGATCTATACATACATCACATGGCCAAGGTGCATCAGGAGCAACATGTCATGTGACTGACACGTGTCGCTCAACATGCTTCACGCGATCACCTGACCAACGCATGTCACGATTAACGCCTCAAATGGTGAATGTGTCTCATGAGCAACTTGCATCACATGATAAGCCCGTGTCAGATAATCGATACCCGTCACAGTTTCACTGATCTAAAGTCACACATGACCAGCGCATGTCATGATTGACATGATGGACCAGCAGGACATGAGCTACATCCGACACGTTTGCTGACAACCAGCGTCACCTCTTCAAGCCATCAGACATGATCAATGCGTGTCGTATGAGTATGCATCTCCTGAGCAACGTGCATCACATGATCAATGCATGTCGCATAAACAACATGCGTCACATGATCAGCATGCGATAAGCAATTGTAACATGATCGTGTCACAACCGACTTGCGTCCTTGGACCAAATCCTCACCTCACCAACACTTCACATGACCAGCGCATGTCACAAGCAACAAGCCACGCGATGGACATAAGTCACACGACCGATTCATGTTATTATCAGCTCAAGTCACATCAACACGCATCACATGATGTAATCCTTGTCACATGACAGAGGCGCCTGTGCATGTTTGTGCTTCAGTTTCCCGCCGAGAGCCCGAGTGACGTCCTGGGCCGCAGTGTACTGAGCGGCGGCCATGCTGACACGCAAGTGCTGCAGCAGTCCTTAGACCAAGCCGTACTCAACCAGAACCAGAATCAGAATCACAACTATGGCGGCGGCGGCGACTTTCGCCAGAACATCCCCAACATCATCCTGACAGGTGGGTTCAGGCGACACGTTGAGCAACGCTCAAGTTGATTGTCACATTTGTCTGTTGTCAGCAAACAGAAAGTTTGTTTTTCATCTTAAAGGCCAACTCGAGTCCATCCTGTTGTTTGCAGTCATATGTTCTGTGAGCCCCCCCCCCACTAGTTGAAACACGATGTTCGAATGAATGTTGCGTTGGTGGAATATAAGAAGGAAGACGCCCATTTTCAGACCTCTCTGGAGTCTGACATTTTATGCTGTCAAATTAAATTGATGGCAAAGTCCCCTCGGGCTCGCATTGCTAATGTCACGTGACGCATGTTTGCACTTGCCGAAGCGACTAATCCATCCATCCATCCATTTTCCGATCCGCTTTATCCTCAAAAGAGTCGCGGGGGTGCTGGAGCCTATCCCAGCTATCTTCGGGCAGTAGGCGGGGTCCACCCCGAACCGGTTGCCAGCCAATTGCAGGGCACACAGAGACGAACAACCATCCGCGCTCACACTCACCCCTAAGGACAATTTGGAGTGTTCAATCAGCCTGCCATGCATGATTTTGGAATGTGGGAGGAAATCGGAGTACCCGGAGAAAACCCACGCAGGCACGGGGAGAACATGCAAACTCCACACAGGGAGGCCGGAGCTGGAATTGAACCCCGTACCTCTGCACTCGCTAACCACTGGACCACCGGGCAGCTTGTTGACTAATTGATTATCTAATTAATCAACAACTATTTTTGATCACCATTTCGAGACCTTGTTTGACTTTAAATTGTCCAAATTCTCGAATTTCAGCAATAAATATTCTCTTGATTTCTGTCGTCCACATGAAAGCGCACCGATTGTTTTTGTTTTGTGTTTTTAGCAAACATCAACAAATCTTTTCCTACGTTTGAATGAAAGAATAGAAAGTAAAACTTGTTTTTTTTTTTTTTTGTTTTTTTTTTAAATCCAAGTAATGGAAAAAATAATGACAATTACAAATAATAATCGCAAATGAGATGGTGGTTAAAATAATCAGTAGTTGTAGCAGCCCTCATATTTTTTTGTTCACTTTACTTGTGGTACCAAATGAATGAAGGTTTTCGGAAAGTTCAACATTTTACCGATGAGTGCCCATGATAAAATTTCCGATGTAGTGACGGGTGAGTCAAAATTGCTGGATGATTGCGAAAGCAGCATCATTCGCTCATTCCCTGCTCGGTGGACATTTTAAGGAACTGTCTTGGTCCACAGTATAAAAAAATAATCTGGGGTTCACTGAATAGCATATTGCAACAGGACACAATCCTGGGTGTACCCCATGGACAGCTTTTTTCTTTTATTGTTCCATGACGCGTGTATTTATCCTCAGGCGACTCTCCGCCGGGCTTATCCAAAGAGATCGCCAGCGCCCTGTCGCACGTGCCGGGTTTCGAGATGGACCCGTACTCACTGGACGACCCGCTCCGGATGGGCGCTCTGGCCCTGGACATGCTGGAGGGAGACCTCATGCTGGCCGACCCCGCTGTGGAGGACTCGTTCCGCTCGGACAGACTCAAGTGAGCTCCGGCGCGGGCTGGCGGGCAGACACCGGGAGCGGACGCGCGCCGTGGGGTCAAGACAGAAACTCACCAGCTGCCCTTCCGGGTTGCGAAGGGGTGAAGCGCTTCTGGAACGTGGCCGGTAAATTTCTATCGGAAGTTAAGATGGGAAACTTTGCAATGATGTCAAATTGGAAACTTTCCATTGGAACCCTTTTTAAAGGCTCTCCATTACCCTCTCGGGTATTTTGCCGGATCTTTCAACAGCCACAGAATATTAAGCTATGTCACTATAAAAGCAGTGAACCTACCACAAGGAAGAAGAGACTCGCCTCTTTCACCAGAAAAAAAAAAAATCAGCTCTTTCGTAATCAGCAGTTAAAAATGGGTTGGTTTTTACTCGAAGCACCGGCTTCGAACCCAAAAGTGGAGAAACAAGCCAAGCTTTTCATGCAAAAAATTGGGATTTCAACATCTCTTTTGCTTCATTTAGAATCATTAATGTACAGATATTTTCAGATTTGCAGCTTTGCGGTGGCGTGTGGAGGACCCAAGCGTAGGGAGGCAAGGCTGGAATGTAGGATCAACACACAAGATCGATTCCGGGGAGGAAAAAAAAAGTACCATAGTATGGTGACAAAATACTGAATTAAAAGTCTAAAAGTAATTCTCCAAAGAATCATGGGAGAAAGCACTAATTGGCTCTACAAGTGTTAACGTTGCACTTTGGAACACATAACTTTAATTAAAAGTCGCACTTGTAGTGGGGAAAAAAAATATTACACAGTTGTTCTCAAAGTGCCCTAAAAATGAGCATGTTTGTAAATGCCAGTAAATGGTTCTGAAAGTAGCTACTGCGATATCAAGTACATTTTATATGGACAGTTATTGAGAATGTCAAATCCAAAGCGATGTGATGTCGCCATATCCTGGCGTGTGCTTGATGGTACACAGGAGCGATTTGACAGACGAGCTGGGTGAGAGCCTCTCGCGCGCGTTGTAAAACGAACGGGGCAATGAAACACTTGGATTCCACTTAACTAATAAAAACGTCCGCACCAGTCAACCAGTTACTGCGGAAGTCAAATCAAAAACCTTTTGGACAATAATCTGGTCTGTGCGACCCCGCTCGTCTATACACGGTATTCTGATGAATGAATGAAAATGTCATCCAGAACGTTTTTGACTTGACGTCCCCTGTAAGCGCTTCCATTCAGAAAACGGATTCTTGTCAATTGCCTTTAATTGCCATGGAAAGTTTCCAAATTGGACAGTTGACGGAATGTTGCCCCCTCGTCCGGAGGCCCATGCGTTCGCCATTTTGGACGGCAAGCCAGCCATGAACTTTCTCCCGGGTGGCGACTAGTAGCGTCAGCCTCTCAAAACACGGAAAGGCCAACTGCTGAGCCTTCAAGTCCACCTCCTGGTCCATGCACTAGTGCACTCCTTGTCCTCACTAGTAGGACATTTGCCCTATTCGGCATGTTTTTTTTACCCATGAACCCCTTTGAGCATTTATTCCCATGCCTTCGAAGTACTCGAGCTCTGTGCTGGATTTCCACACATATATGCCGCACCCACACATATATGGAACGACGGATCAATAAACACGGTGAGGAGACATCTCTACTGGGAACAAGTGTGAAAAAAATACGCGAGTCCGCATTCATTGCCGAGCACGACCATCATGTAAGGGTGCGCACCCTCTTGTCAATCTTTGCATCAAACTTCAGGGGGTAAAAACGGCACTGATGAAACTGGCAAATGAACATGTCAGCCATTTGAACAGACACGGCATTGTTCCTGAATTCAGACAGCGTCTGAAATAAATACATCTTATATATGAGTTACATATGTGTATGTATACACATATGATGTAGTAAATAATAGAATGAATGACCATCCACTTTGTTGTGGCAGACAATAAAATCCCGTCCCTGCCCCCTCTTAAATTTTTCTTACTTTAAACCATGTATTTTATATCGATTCGATAGAAAGTTGTCCTCCTGCTAGTGAAAACAGGCTGCACTAGTACATGGACCCGCAAGGTGGATGTGAAGAATGTGGAATAAATGCTCACAACGGGTTTAGTAGTATAAAAATCAAAAACTTGTTCTCAACATCCCTGATGCCTACTTTCGGGTCCATACACTCTTTTTGTCTTAGCTCGTAAGACAATTCAGCATACTAGTAAGAACCACTGTGTCCTACTAATAACTTTTTTTGCACTAGTAGTGGAAAAAAACGTCACTCACGTGACGTAGTTCTACTAATGCGTCCGCGTTGTAGGAGGGTATGTTCACACTGCAGCTCAATTCCTTTTTTATTTTATTTATTTATTTTTTTCAAATCCAACCTGGCTCGGATATTTGCACATGTCCGACCTATACGTCAACTAAAGCCCAGTATTTCCTCCTCGCAGGCGGGGGGGAAAAGACTGCTTAGGAAACTACTGACATTGTCCGGGAATCTACAATCGTTTTTTGAAGTAACAGTTGTCTTTACAGTTGACTTTAATTGAATCCCACTTGAAACACGAAGCAAAAAGTGGACATTTGTGGCGAATGTAGTCATTCGCCCACGCTTCTTTTACTATTCACGGCAATGACGTGACATCATTTTTAATCGCCGTTTTCATTAAATGAGGGGATCGGGGGAGTCCCCAAATTATCTGTACCTCCTCCTGCCTTGATACTGTGGCGATATGAGATGATAAAATGAGCCCCGACACACGGCACCATATTTAATTCCATAAACACTGGCCAGATGATGTCTGTTTTTTTTGGGGGGGGGGGGGTTTTTTTTTTTTCTTTTTCTTTCATGCATGTCACTTTGACGACGGGTTTTGAGCTCATGCGTGTCACAACATGGGCGCGTTGCGTTCACATTAGAAGTCGCATTTGTTTTTGTAGCGAGTATATAAAAAGCTGTAATTCATTTAAAAAAAAAAATCCAAATTGTGCCTGCAGTGTGAACATAGCCTTAATTGTGAGGAGGAAGAGCATACTACAGCATACTACAACTAAATATAGTTTCAGGACCATATACTAGTAGTCCGGTTGTTGGCCTCACTATTGAGTCAGTTCACTACACTCGCAGTATGACTGTATCTCATCATTTAATACACGACTTTTTATTTTTGTGGCTTTAGTTGAAAAGCAAGGAAGGGAGGTGTTTTAATTGTGCACTGTAGGCAAAGAGCATAATAATATCCATGGACCTTTAACTGAATCTCGTTTCAGGTCCATGAACTACTTGTCCAGTCGCTGTCCTCACTATTCTGACAATTTTGAAGTAGGCAGACAGCATCGTTGTGTCTCTAGTTGAAAAAGCCTACCTGTAAGACTCTTTATTTTTTAATTTTTTGTCTGCTTGTGTGCTGAATTGTACTGACAAATGAGCTAACTCGTATATGGACCCGAAACTGGACTTTGCATACTTCCTGCTCTGCTATGCAATTGAAGGCGAGAAGCCTGCTGTCTGTCATTACCAATCAGACTGTCGGTGTTCCTCCAAAATCATCGCGAGCCACCCACGTGTGGCTTTTCTGTGGGTAATTGGCGAGGTAGTCACACATTCCCTGTTGGCGGCGCTTACCCGTCTTTTGGCTGAAATTTGACAGGAAGCTCCTCGGGATGTGCGTGCGCTGGCGTGCGCATACGCAGGAAGTCTTGTCATCAAGTCAAGAAGAAGACGAGAATAAATGTCAGCGGGACATTTTTACGCGTTTGACCAGCTTTTTAGTTCTTCAGAATGAAAAAAAAGAATGTTTTCCGAGGTGAGGGAGCGGTCTCAGTCGGTCCCGTCATCATCATGCCAGAACTTCCTCTTTGAACAGGAAGTGCAGGTTTTCACACGCTTGCGTGTTTGTTGGAAAAGGTCAAAGTCACATTCGCTGACAAGGAAAATTTCTTTGAGCCAAGCTAAGGTGCATGCATGTGCGCACGCGATTGTTTTATGCAATCATGTCGGCAGAAACAATGTAGTTGGAAACTCTGCCAGTGGGGGAGCTGTTGAGGGATCAGCAACAGGCCATATTTCATATTTCTCTGAAACACGCACACATGTGTGCGCGCACACATCCCCTACCATGAGCTAAAAAGGCCATATTTCATGTTGTCACATTTTTACAAAAGTTTGCTCAAACGTTCTTAACGCTGTTGGGCTCGTGCTTTTAGGCTGAACTGCGTTTATGCGCGTGTTGTAATAATTTGTAATAAGCAGGGACGTGTTTGTACATATGAATGTTTGCAAAGCAGCTAACAAGAGATTTATAAACTGTTACTTCACATTCTTTTTTGCAGAAAATAAACTTTATGTGAACTTGTCAAGTTTCTACATTGAGAGGGAAGCAACGGTACCGGTCCTTCAATATAATAGCTCATATAACTGTGCTTTTGTATAACTTGCTTTGTTTCTACGCATATAACTGCATTGAAAACAAACGAACAGTACTACTTTAAAAATGTAAGCAACAGTGCCACTACTGCAAATTGAAAACACTACTTAAAAATAAAAGCAAAAGGACCAATAATTGAAACATGAAACCTACTTCAAAATAAAAGCAATACTATAAATATAAAAGCAACAGTGCTGCTATTTCAAAATAAAACCAGCAATATCATGACTACAGAATAAAGCAACAGCTTTGTCCCCAGTACATCTAAGTTTGGCTATCTCTTTGACGAGCTGATTTTGAATCCGCTCCATCCTGGTGACTCCTCAAGAAAAGCCCCACATCTTCATTTGCGCCACCTCCACTTCTGCTTCATCCTGTTTCTTCAGCACCACTGTCTCGAATCTGTACATCATTGCCAGCTTCAGCAGATTTTCCCTTCATCCTCAGCGAGACTGGAACATCACATAACACCCCTGATATTTTCCTCTGCCTCTGCCAACCTGCTTGAATCCATTTCTTCACACCCTCAGTCACAGTTGCTCTGGGCTGTTGACCCCAATCATTTTTAGTCCTCCACCATAGCTATACCTCCTCCCTGTAGCTTCACTCTTCTGGTCTATGAGGGTTCCCAGTCTAACTTCATCACTCAGTCTATCAATCACTATTCCAAAGAGGAAGAGGCTAAAAACAGATCCCTGATGCACCCCAACTTTCACCTCCAACTCTTGTGCCACACTGACAACACACCTAATGAGGGTAGCAGAACAGTGGTTTTGCTACCCTCATAAATCCGTCCTGTAATATTTGAATAAACTTACGCCAATGCAGACTTCCTCTTTCAGTTGCACACTTCCTCTTAGGGAGGGTACCATCATAGGCCTTCTCCAGATCAGCAAAGACATAGGGCAGCTCGTTCTCACCCTCTCTGTACCACTACAGTACTGCAAAATGAAAGCACTACTTCAAAATAAAAGCAACAGACCCGCTACTTTAAAATGAAAGCAGCTGTACCAGTACTTAAAACAAGAGCAACAGTACTGCTTCTTCAAAATAAAATCAACGTTATTTAGAAATAAAAGCATCACTTCAAAATACGAACAGCAGTACTCCTACTTCAACCACTCATTCAAAATAAAAGAAACAGTACTCAAATTAAAAAATAAAAGATTGTTCAATATTGAAATGATAGTACTGCTACTTCAAAATAAAAGCAATAGTACCACTATTTCAAAATAAAAGATCAACCCAGGGACACAGTCTATCGCCTTCTCCACGTCCACAAAACATTTGACTGGATGGGCCAACTCCCAATGCACCCTTGACGACCCTGCCTTGGGTTTTGAGGTGGTCCACTTTTCCACACCTGGGACAAAAATCACATGATGGAAAAAGGAAAAAAAATTACCCACCCCCATACGATACAAAAAAAAAAAAAATGCTGATAAACCTCCAATAAGCGTTTTTCGTGAAAAAAGGGGGATTGGATTCTCCCCTGCCAAAAATATATACAGGAAAAGTCAGTTGGTATTGAACCGTAGGCGAGTGCCCGCTGTCTATAAAAATAAAAAATAAAAAAAAATGGCGGTGATTCGTGGGTATGCGGTGAATTTGTATTTCTTCACGTGTTAGACCATAATCCATTTGTTTCCACTTCGTCTTTTATTTTGAAAAACGTGAGTGGAAGTGGCGGCACGGCACGGGAGTCTTGACACATGTTGCCGAGCTGCCGGGGCCCAGATCAAACATGGACGTCACATGGGAGCCAATGAGAGCAACATGAGAGTCGCCGTCTTCTGCCGCCGGACGAAGCAGCAAACACGACCAGGTAGCGTCGCTCCCAACACAGGTCGAAATTTGACCCAAACGGAACCGCTGCAAAGACGCCGGAACCTCGGCTAATGCGGGCCAGCGCCGTTAGCTTAACGGCGCTCGCCTATAACGGGGCTCGGCTCCGCTTGGCTGTACGCCCTTTATCGGACACGCCTCTGCCGTCTCGTCGCGTCCCTCCCCGCGGGGCCAACATGTCAGCAATCCGCTGCCCAGCGTCCAAAGAGGATCCCCAATGGTTTGCTGATGTGCGGTGGGCGACCGTCAAATGTTAGTCGCATTTCAAGCAAATTTGAGGCATATGTGGCCGATGTGATGAACAGATGGCAGCTTCTGTCCGATAACGGAACTAGTAAGACGCTTGCCTGCGACCATCCAGAGTCTGTCAGTCGCTGTCGTTCTGTCTGCCCGCGTTAGCACGCGATGCGGTGGCCATCTGTGACGTCATTAGTTTATTTCCGGACGCGGTCGGATAACGGAACTCCCACTGAGGCTGAAGCTGCACGCATCTTCTTCCTCTCCACTATCATCATCATCATCATCGTGTGTGATGCATGGCATACACGTGATGGTGTGTATGTTAGGCTCCAATGGTTGTACTTTTCTTTGCATATCGTTTCACCACATAAAGCCATGGTTGACTTGTCACACATGACGCATGTGTGTGTTTGTGTGTGTGTGTTAAAAATAGTCACACGCATGTTGCCGACCTCTCATGTGACCTGCTCATGATGTCGTCACTCAAACCCACAAAGACACTTTTATGCTCCCCGCCACGCTCACACAAAGGGACAAAGGGATACACACACACACACACACACACACACACACACACACACACACACACACTCACTCAGACACATACAGATAGGATACTTACACATTTATGCTCACGCACTCACATGCACACATACATGCACATGCTCATACATGTGGACGAATATGCTCTGACACACAAATCTGTGTGTGCATACACAAGTACGTGCACACTGAAACCCACACCCACTTTGACCTAGTTTAAGTAAAGAGGAAGTGAGGTGATGACATTTTGGGCAAACTTCCTACTAGGCTGTAGTCATCTTCAAAAATGGCCACCACCGTGCTCACACGAAGCCTTTTGTGTTTTCATGCCACTCGAAATGGCAACAGGAAACACCTGACAGCATCTTTCCTCTTTCGCACTTTCACATCCGGCCCCCGTGCTGACTAATGGTAACAACCTGCAAGGTCCTTCTGTAACTGGGCCCATTGCCATGAGAACAGGCCACGCCTACTCAAGGATGACAGGCCCTAACTTGAGTTGAAGGCCGTCACTACGGATTATTTTATTAATTGATTCATTGATTATTTTCTCATTGAATCGATTCATTGCTTTAAAAAATAAAATCCGTTTTATTGTAAAGCATGACATGATTTCAACCTGACACTGCACAAAAGTAAATGAATGATGATTCACTTACCGGTTTAGTCCAGGACGTCCGTCAGAAAAATCGGCAAAAATGTTGATGGAAATTTTCAGCTCAACAATCTCAACGGATTCATCAATTTGTCAAAATAGTTGATGATTAATTGAAGTCGAGAATTTATCGATTAATTGTCACACCTTGATTGGTTCCAACAGAAAGTCGGCAAATGGGCAGATTTACGAAAGCCAAAGCGCATAAACATACCCCCAAAAGCCTGACTTTCTGTTTGTGTGATGCGATGCGGCAAGCAGAGTCGGGCACATCGGCGGCATGACGGAGGACAAATGCCCGCAGCTGGTGGACTACTTCGTGGTGGCGGGTCTGGACCCGGCAGGACCCTGGCGACCTCTGGATGACGACGCCAGAACAGTCGCTTCCACGCCGCCGCCGTGCCGGGGGGCAGATCCTGTGACGGACCTGGTGGTGATCGCCCGCGGCCTGGGCGAGGAAGTCCCCCAGGGCTTCACCTGCATCGACAAGTCGCTGGGCGGCCACTCGGCCGAGCTGAGCGCCGGCCTCATCAACAACCCGCGCCTGTACCTTTGCTACCGGAGGGGCCGCGACAAGCCTCCTGTTGTCGACCTCGGGTAAGACATCCGCCACCTCTCCGGCGCCCTTGTCAGGCTGTCGTCATGTCACAGGTTGAGCGCGTTGCTTCTGTTTTTCCACAATTTCTTCAGTTACAATATTCTTCATTTCTTTTAAAGTGAATAAGGAATAGTCAAGCATTGACACGAGGTCAAGTTAAGATCACCTGCTATAAGTAAGGCTGGAGTATTCAGTTCTAGGGCTGCACAATATATTGCAAAAATATTCCCTGTGCAATATCTGTATGGCAAATATTCATGTATATTTAAGTGATTACAATTAGTTAGCAATTACGTTTGCCACGTGAGAAATAAATTCTTTCATGAGAAAATAAATATGTAATTTCTTTTGGTTTATGTTAAATATTACAATAATACCAATATTTCATATCATTTCAGATATTGCATGTTTTTCCAAGATGGTGGAGATCTATCGATTCATCTGTCAATGATCTATTTATTTATTTTTAAATGATTATTATTAATGGATGAATTTGATTTAAAAAAAAACACAGACTTGGAAATTTCTATCCTGGAATTTCAAATTGACAGTACAGAAAATGCACAAACTGAATTGATGATGATTCCGTGACTGGTTTGGTCTGTAACAACCGCCAGAACATGGGAAACATTTGATTGTGTTCCAAAGTTGAAATGAAATTCATTGTGTTCCACAGTAAAAAAAAACAAAAACAAAAACAAATTCAAATTCAGTTTTTGGGGTGCATGCTCAGGGTGTTATACGAGGGCAAGGAGCAGCCAAAGACGGGCTGGTACGTGATCGAGACCACACCCTACAGCCGCTCGGCCAACCTGAGTTCCGGCGCCGGCCCGGCGGCGCAGCGTGTCTTCCTGACGTACCGGCGCGCCGCGGACGCGCAAGGCCTGCATTCGTTGGGCGTGACTGACATCGGCGTGCTGCTGCCTGGGAAGGGTGAAGCAGCGCCGCACACCTTCAGCCGTGTAGACAAGAATCTCAACACGGGCATGGTGAGATGCATCGGCCACACTGACGCGCCGGGCCATTGATGCTAACTCTTGTGCGCGT